TCCATGGGGGGGGGGGGGGAAATTTTTTGGGGGGGGGGGGGGGAGGTATATTCTAAAGTATGAGATAATCAGCCGAAATACCATTTTTGTCCTTTCATTTGGTAATCTTTTTATTCGGCAGTAACCAGTAAATCCAACTTACTATTTCATTCACTGACATCAAATAATATGTGTATTTCATACATAAAATTCAGCTTGACTGGAAATTTTGAGGAAGTTTGTTAAATATTTTTGTCATTCTAAAGCTCATCGAAAAATATTGGTCAAAGGGCAATCAACTTCTAGAAAAAGACATTTAATATATCACATAGCTTGCACGTACACACTTAGTTTGGTCCAAGGTGATGAACATAAAATATTACCAACCTATAGACTCATGAACTAAGATACCTTGATTTTCATAACAATTCTTTTCTCTTGACTGGGTAAAGCACTTGGTTTCTAAAGCTTTGAAGCTTATAAAACGTATGTTGATCCAACTAAGTCTTCTCAAACTATTCATAAAGATTGAAATCTTTTTTCCTTAACTCTTTTACAAGAATTTCTAAGAACGTGTAGCCTAAATCTTCTTTTAATACGTTTAATATGAATTATTCCCTTCTAAATTGTAATTGACGATTTTAACAGTCATGGTAAGTCAACATATGCTAATTGTCTAAAGCCAAGAATAAACAAAACTTGATCCCAAAAATGATTTTAAGCACCTGTTTCATCGCCATTATTTGCTATTATAATTTTTCGAATAGTGTTTTTTTTTTTTTTTTTGAAAAATTTTTGATTGGAAAAGAAGACATTTTTTTTGATTTACATGTAATATTATTTTATGAAAGATTGTGAGGTTGAAAATAAGAGAGAAATTATAAAGTGAAATAATGGGGACCAAATAGGGGCTGAGTTGGCAACCTGGCTAGTATTAACCTTTTTCGAATAATAAATAAAAATTGAACAAACATGAATGTTATGAAATGCGAGGGGCTATTCACTTACTGCTCCTCATTTCGAAGTTTCTTATACTCTTTCTCGAGCTCTTACATCTCAGCACCCTTATGTTCATCGTCATTGTCATTCTCAAGATCCTTCTTCCTCCTCCTCCTCCTCATCTTCATTCTCATTCCCAACATCAGTATCCTCATGATGGTTCCCATGGTCATCATTACCATCATTATTATCCTCATCCTTTTTGTTATTATCATAATCATCACTATAGTCATCTTTATCATCTTCCATGAAATTATTCAACTGATTAAAGCAACACAATAAATAAGCATCATAAAAAATAAAAACAAAATATAATCACAAAGAAACAATCAATTAATGAAAAAAATAGGCTCTAACACTCTCAGGTAACATTTGAATTTCCATGTAGCTGTCAAAATCCGAACCATTGTCACTTTGTTCCACCTTTCTCAATTTCTTCGTCGAAGGCTTCCCCATTTTTGAATTACCTAAAACACAAAAATAAAAATAAAAAATACATTTGCCATTTAATTCTCATTCATGTTAGTTTTTAGACCGTTAGACTTTGCCAATCAATCAAACATAAATATATATTAATAAAACAATAGGAATCCATACATTAAACCCGCAGTCTTTATACTGAAAAAATTGAAACTTCACTAATAGGGGCAAAGCTAGGATATTCGTTCAGCACGATCAAAAATTTTATTGACACCGAACGTCGAATTTTTGATTATGGATTTAATGATGATAAAAATATAAAATAATATTACGACAGTACTAAAAATGGGTATTCTTAGTCCAGGATCAGTTGGAAGTTTTGAGCCATCAAATTCCACATTATTCGATATCCCCATCAACATTTTCTACATTCGTTTTTCTTTGAAAGAATCTCTTTATTTGATATCTGGATTTGAACATTTGTTAACCAATTACTACTGGGAGTAATTCAGAATGATGGAGACAGAATCACAAATATACTAGAAGCCAAAGCAAAGCAATTCACACTTCACAGGGCAATTCACATAGCAATACTACAAGCAATTCACATTCACAGGGCAATACTATTTCACAATTTCACATGGTAATACTATTTCCAAAATTCTCACTTCACATATCACGATTTCACAAGGCATTAGAGCAATACTATTTCCAAAACTTGTGCCAATCACAGTGACTGAGTGATTAAAATAACTCACAGTTACAATTTATAAAGGTAGCAAGTTGACCAGCAACACATACACTAGAAGGAACTAGAATTCTTCTGGACACTGGTAGCAAAATCAATTGAATAGCAACCAGTACATCAATGTGTAGGCAGGCTGCAGTACTTACTTCGAAGAGCAAAAGTGCTAATTTCATATGTTTAAAAGAAAAATAATTCAAACATTATTATAATTTACACAAATTAAAATAACAGAAAATAAGAAAAGAAAAATGAGTATGGGGATGGGCTTCACCTTCTTCTTCAGTTCTTCTGTTGCTGCCGAAGAATTACTGGCATCGGCATCTGCTTCTACTGTTACAGTAACCCTTAAGTCCTATTTACGATCGTGCCGTCTAGGGTTTGAACAAACAGCAAACACAGACAGAGAGCAGATGAGGAGAAAGCAGAGACAGCGCACAGTGGAGGCGAGGCGGAGTGGATTGATTGTTTGAATTGGAATGGGAGGAAATTACAAAAAAAATCGGTGTTTAAATTTTCTAATTCAAAATTCAGGTGCAAGGTTTATTTAAGCAAAACTCAAGTATTAATTCAACTTATCCACTAATACCACTACAAATCCCCTCACTCTTTCACTCTTCTCACTTAACAGTAGGAGTGCCGCCCCAGGAAAAGAGTCTTCGGCGGCAGAGATGTTACCATCGAAGTCGAACCACCTACGTGGTGACGTCACCAGCAGAGAGAACCGTCGTGAGTAGTGGTGTTGAATGAGCATTTGTTGGTGCAGAGAACCGTCGTGAGTAGTGGTGTTGAATGAGCATTTGTTGGTGCGCCCTAATCTGATCGATGCTTTTTCAGTTCGGCCAGATGATTTGAGCACTGCGCATTCTTTTCTCCCTAATCTCTGTTCTCTCAACGTAGTGACGCCGACAGTCGAAACACTTGCGCAGTGGCGTCATCACTAGAGAGAACCGTCGCGCAATGTTGAATGGGTATTTGTTGGTATGCCCTAATCTAAGTGACGACTTTCAGATCGGAGCGGTGAATTGAGCACCGTGCACATTTGTGCTAAGTCGTGGTTTTAGGGTAGAGGATTTTTTGGGTGAGGATTGTGGTTATGGTGTGGTAGTGTCGGTGGCGTGATTGAATTGTTGGTGATGCAGGTGCTAGATAAGATGTTGCTACAGTAATGATAGGTGCCTTGTTTCAATGGTGCCGGTAGTGGTTGTGGCCAATTATATACTTTGTTCTATTGGTGCCGTCATGATGGCGATTTTGACGGTGTGTGTTGGTTTGTTTTTGTCAAGAGGTGGTGGTGACGAGGGTGTTGGCTATTGTACGATTGGAGGAGGCAGTGGAGAGGGTGGTCACAAACTGTTAGGAGTGGTCACAATTTGTGATGTTAGTATTGGTCGTTGATGGGGATCGAAGTGGGATGTTTAGTGTATGTGACTCACAATTTAATTGTGACCTAAAAATTCAGAAATTTATGATTTAAAATTAATTTTTTTGATCTACGACCAATTAATTGTGACCTTGAAACAATCTGTGACCTACAAAATCTTTTATTTGTGATCTCGAAATAATCCTTAACCAATTAATTTGATGATATATGACGAGTATGTAATTATGTGACCTTTAAGTATGTATCTGTGACCATAAATCGTAAAATTGTGATCTTAATATATTTCATTAATAAATATTTTTAATTAATTAACTAATAAACTTGACTTTTGCATTTTATAAATTTAAGACTTGATTTTTGAAGTCTCCATACAGGATTTATGAATTTTTCCCTTGGAATTGATGGAATGGGTTGAAACTTTTGGATTAACAATTATGGTATTGGGCTAAGTAATGGGCTTCACTTCTTGGTTGGGTCTGGGCATTTCAAAGGGAAAAAAAAGGGTCCTTTGTGATGGGAGGACAAAAAGTTTAGTGCGGGCCTTTGCCTGCACTGGAGCTCGGCCATTGGAGAGTCCTGGGGTCTAGTAGGGCAACTGCTCTCATTGAATTTTTGTCTTGGGTATTTCACCTATTATAAAGACGGCTGTCATTTTTTAAGGTAAGGAGAAAACCTTAAACAATTGCATCAAAATTCATTGCAATGTTGTTGAAAAATCACCGTAGCTAAAAGAAGATTACCATCAAGAAACAACAATTTGGAAAAATAAGTTAATTTTAAAGAGTTGAGCTCAAATTAAATCCTTCACAACAATTAGATAGAATGTGATTCTAACATATAAAGCCTGTTTCACACTAACGAAGTTCGATGCTACCTTCCAATTTCGTTTATGAAGAAATTGAGTAGAAATCACTGCAACACAAGATAAATTGGTGCTCCATGAATAAGAGTTAAATCTGATGCATGTGTACTAGTTGGTAGGGGTGGACAAAATGTCCAGATCAAACCAAATGGTTCGGTTTGGTCTCATCAAAAAAATTAACGGTTTTGGTTCTTTGAATCGAGAACCATTGGGTTTTGGTTCTTGTTCGATACTAACTCAAAAACTAGAACCAGAACCAGAACCAAACTTAATATTTAATTTTATATATATTAATTAGTGGAGACCCTAATTTTATATTCATTGGAGATAGCCCATAATTGAATACAGATTGTTAATCGATTTTGAGTCATTAGAGACAAACAACTCATTAGTTGTTTACACCTTAATTTTGTATTCAGTTGAATCATTTCTCCTTCGCTCATTTTCAATTTACACAATGTCGCGGCATGCTGGTACCACATTTCATCAAGTTAGTGGAGTGTCATTTAAGATCGGAAAATGAAATTTGTTAGTTATTTAAAAAGTCTCTAAACTATTCCTTTTACCTTGATTGTTTGATAAGTTATTTGTGTTCCTCACAAATAGAGGAAAACTTAATAAACAATCATGAAATATTAAACGGTTAATGTTGCCTGTAAAAGCGAACTATAAAATTTTTGATAATTCATTCTTTATTGTAGAGATGTGCCTTTAAAACTATTGCGATTAATTTAGTGAATCATTGCTATTACTTATTAAACATTTTTTCTACGAGATCGAAAAATGATTTGTGTATTCAAATTATGAATATATTTTGTTTGTTAGTTATGACTTTCCTTATCTCGATGATTGAATTTGAACTTCCTAAATTTTTGATGTTTATTTTTTTTATTTAGGTATACATTACTAATTTATATGATCCAAACCAAACCAGAACTGAACGGTTCGGTTCAATTTGGTTCCATATCTTTCAAAAAACCATTTGGTTCCATTATAAAAAAAAAACTCATTAATTTATGGTTAGGTTCGATTCTCTTGAAACTAGAACAATATGGAATTATGTCTACCCCTACTAGTTGGATATGCATGCCTTTGAATTGGGCTTTGCAATATGCTTTCCCATTCTAATCCATTTTTCAGTTGGACCTCAATCAAGTAAGTAAAAATAAATAAAATTTCGACGAATCGTTTAAGTTCTAATTTTGAGTTTATTTACAGTTTTCTATTTTTGAGAGTATATTTTAAAATTGTTAAAAATAAATTTAAGTTGTCATTCAAAAAAGAAAAAAAAAATACATAGCTACAAATGTTTCAAAATATAATTACAAAAATAAAAAACTTCTGAAAAAATTTCAAAAATGTGTGATAAAATTTTGTAACATATAATTAAACTAATTATGTCATGATCACAATAATACATAATTTACGGTCATAATCACAAATCACACAATTTTTTGGCACTATTTAGTCGCAGATTACACATTTTAATAGTTAGATATTATTTATTAGCAACAAATTCCTCAATTAATTGGTTTCAATCACTCTTAATTTTACCCCATCCACTCCACCATTGCTCGCACCAGCCAAGTCACTGTGGCCACATCAAATTACAACTAACAACCATTACTTCCATGTGAGTTTCACTTCATTTCTGCATGGATAGCTTCATTTTTGCTTTCCTTAATTTAGAAGATACTTATTGCACATAGTTTGAACCCTTATACAATACCTCATGCCCTAACGGGTGAAGTTAAGAAGCTATAAAATAATATACAAATGCATTGTTATATTATCTAGATCCCCATAAAAGAAACTTCGAACCAGAAATTCGAAAGATTCATTTAAATGCATTTACTTATTGAAGAGATCAACAATATCTCACACTCTAGTTTTAAATGCTTTAACTTGAATTCACGTCCTGGAAGGACAATTCAATTACATGATATTTAATAAATCAATGATATGCATGAAGCGTGATGGCATTTGATTCCAAGATAACAAATTTTAGAAGAAAAATTGAGCAAATAGTAAAGATGGTCTATTAGGAGGTGTATGCTTTTGGATAATAGATATAACAAAATGTAAAACATCATAACAGGTTCAGGTACCAAAAATATTGAAAATTGAGATATCTTAATAAGTTATGACGTTATGAGAAAGAAATAGAATCGGAAAAAAAGTAGTCAACAATACTTTTGTTCATGACACACTATCTCATGTTATAAAAGATGAGGATAGCTAAATAAATTCGTCAAATCATGTTATTAGAAGAAATGGTTGGCCAAACAAATGGATGTAATCCTAACAAATTAAATTTACTAGAGAAGTCTGAAATTTCTGGATCTATAGTCCAAACACCTAAAAATGTATACTCATGCGAAACGAAAATAGAAAAATAAAGTTGTAATGTATAATGTACGACTCTTAGAATAACAAATTTCACAAAGAATTATATAGATAGAAAAATTATCCTTTTAGTGGATGCAATAACAAGTCTTTATCTCGTCAACCTAATAATACATGAAATTTGATATGCATATAGTAAATGTGATTATAACAAACTTATCTTGCATGATTTTAATACTATTCTTGAAGGATTTTACGTGTGATGCATATAATTAAAGTAATATCATCCTAAGGGAAGTAAATTCGCATTGTAATATTTTTTTCCTTGACTGTGATTTTATCCCATTGAATTTTCCTAACAAGATTTTTAATGAAACAACCTTTATAGCGTTCTCAAAAGAATAATTTACTATTTTTCCTTCATTAAGATTTTTTCCGTCGAGTTTTTCCTAATAAGATTTTAAAGAACCATATTCTTGTTTAATGAATGCCTATAATATACAAAACAGTTACCATCAAATTAATATTCTTATATGTATGGGACACCCAAAGAGATCAGCAAAAGCTATTTTCAAAATCATCATTTTACTACAATCATCAAAGATTATATAAATATATTGTATGAAGATGTTATTTGAAGAATATACAAGACAACATGAGACATACTTTACTAGAAATTATAATATTGAAGACATTGACATATAAGACATTGATGACTTGATACAAAAGATTTCATTTAATGAAATCAAGGGGAGTAACTGTACTTTTTTTTTTCTTTAATCAAGTTTTATCCCATTGAATTTTCTTGACAATATTTTAATGAGACATTTTTTTATTACTTCAAATTATTTGTTCTCCTTTTTCATTTATTTGGTGTTTTGTTCAATCTAATTTTTGTGAAGCAAGGTTTTCAACGGCACTGGTGGATTTGAGCGTGCTACACTTCAGTGGATGTTCAACATAATGTGTAGCCCCTTTCGTTGAACATGTGGGCCCTCTTGTAGTGAAAAACCCTTTCATGAGTGCTTGACCAAAAGTCTTCACGCACTAAGTATTAACGCTTTTTGAGAAAGAATTTAGGAACGCACTTTAGTTATATTTTTTGACAATCCCGCATGATGTTTGCATACTAATGTATATCCATCAAATTGAAAAATCGACTCACAACACAAAGTAAGAAAAGAATACTTCCATCATTTCTTACTCTTTTAGTAATGGAAATATAGAGTCTATCAAACTTGGTTCTAATGCTAATATCTTAAACATGTACGACGGTGTCGAATTAGATCAATGATCTTTAAGTCCAAAATCTCATGGTAGTCCCACAATATGGATGACTCAAAATGTGTAGGTATGTCTCGAACAACCAAAGGTATCTACAAATCAATAACCATAATCTAGGAATATAGATGAGAGATAAATAGATACTATGAAATCATCTTGTGTTAAATACATAACTATTGGGGTCTTATTTATAAGTTGACAGAGAGACTTACTAAGGGAATGTTTGACAAAACTTCTGGTAAATGTTTAAGTAGATTTTGATAGAAGTTGATGAAATGTACATTTAAAAAGTTTTAGATCCCCAGAAATGGATAGTTAAAATTAATTGTTTATTTTGACCTCAACCGTTTCGTAATTTTTTTAAGCTATCCAAATCAAGTATTAAATCCTATTCTAAATCGCTTATAGATGAATTCAGTCCGATCTTAGTTAGATCCTATAATCCAAATCTTAAATGAAAAGGTTTATTTAATATTCCTATATATCTGATACCACAATCTTTTGGCTAACAATTGCCGCTCCAGTTGATAAATTTATGGTACAAAGTCCAACCATTCATAACTCTATTATTATAGGCAATATATCTAACAAAGTATCTAATATTCAATTTAAATATTTGTACCAAGTTAAATAAGGAAAACACCTCTAAAAGAGGTTAAATATGAATAATAAATCATTTACAAATTTAAAAAGTGAGTTATGTAAATAACATTTGTTAAAGTTACGAATTAATCAATTGAATTACTTGATCTCAATTAGATTTTATTTATTTTTTATTTCAACAATTAAACTAAATATTTCACAACAAAGTGACTGGTAACTCACAAACTGATTTTATTTTTGCAAATATTAAGAAAACATGATAACGTTTTCAATTAGATTAAAGAGCAACATTAGTCACAATGCGTGCACCACTCCAGCCATTTACTTTTCCAAAAAGGGGCACCTGATTTCAATCACAAGCAAAGTCAAGATTAAGACATTATCAGGCCAAAGCATAGTCATGGTGCAAACAACTAAATTGAGGAAGTATATTTACATACTTACCTTTAGGACATAAATTTCCTCTTAAATCCTGTCACGTAGATTGTTGTTGTCACGTACATCCAATCTCTAACACTATTCCAGAATTTGAAATAGGAATGCCTCCATGAATGTTTGAGGATTAGAGTACCAACAACTACCCAGAATCCAATAATGAAACCAAATGCCATGCAGATATAGAAATCTCGATTTATAAACCTATCATCTTCTTCAACTACATTTACCTTTCCATTATGAGTCACAGAAGGGTCACGAGGACACTCCACCAATGGATCCCCACAGAGTTGGTTGTTCCCAGCGTACACAGATGAGTCAAAACTTTGTAGTTGAGTGCTTAGTGGAATCTTCCCCGTCAGATTATTGTATGATAAATCTAAAACGCTGAGAAAATGTAGATTTGCCAGGCCATTCGGAATCTCCCCAGAAAGTTTGTTTCTAGATAAGTCAAGCCATTCCAATGTGTCCAATTGACCAATGCATGAAATGATATTCCCTGTTAACTGGTTTCTTGATAAGTTGATGAAAACTAAACCTCTCAAATCACAAAATGCTTGAGGAATAGTTCCAACTAACTTATTGCTAGAAAGATCAATGCCTTTCAAAGTTCTTAGTCTTTCATACTCAAATTCTTGTCCTTTCCATAGAACCAAAGCATTGTCATCGTCGTCTCGTGGGCGCCCGTAGTCATATAGAAAAGGATTATATTCGAGAATAGTTGAACCATCATTCAGAACCAAAGAAGTAAAATTGTTTATGCATTGTGGAATTTTTCCCGAAATGTTGTTTCTAGAAAGGTCCAAGACATGAATATCGGTAAGGTAGCAAATTGTTGGAGGAATGGATCCATGTAAACTATTAAATCGAAGGCTAAGAACAGCCAAATTTGTTAAGTGTGTTCCTATCCATGCTGGAATTGTACCTGTTAACTTGTTTCTTCCAACATCTAACTTTCTCAACTGTGTGCAATTCTTCCAAGAGGAAGGCAATTCACCTGTGAAATTATTGTTGCCCAAATGCAATATCGTAAGCCGCTTCAGGGTGCTTAAAGTAGGGGGAAGTTTACCCGTGAACTTATTATTTGCCAAATTCAGAACACTTAGATCATGTAAGTTCATCCAGCAATCAGGAAGCTCTCCGTCTAATTGGTTATCTGAGAGAACAAGGGTCTCGATCCCGACTGTTGTTGAATATTGAAAAACTGATATTGGAATTGGGCCGGAAAGATTATTATGACTTAAATCTAGATGCCCATAATGATTCAACTTTAAGGCCAAATCAGATATCCTGCCCCTAATATTATTATGTGAGAGGTCTAATAACTGTATAGAAGTCATACTCCACAACCAATTAGGTAATGTGTCGGATATACCAGCAAAAGAGAGATAGAGTTCACTAAGAGAATTCTGTGTTCGAATCCAATTTGGAAAATAAGGCCCCATATTACAATGACTGAGACGTATTTGCAACTGGAAGGGCGGAATCCAATCGAAGCTGAAGCTGAAAGAAACATTATTAGAAGACAAATCCAATTTTGTTAATTGGGTAAGGTTTGAAAGGTGGTGTTCGGTGATTGTACCTTCCAGCGAAGTTGAAGAGAGATTTAAATATTTGAGATTTAAAAGATGCTCAATAGCTTCGGGTAGCCTTTTCAATTGGTTTCCTGAGAGATCTAAACTCTCAAGACTTGAAGGTTGATGAAGGCTCTGTGGATGAAGCCCATCCAAGTGATTGTTACTAAGGTACAACTTTTTTAAGGACGAAAATCTGGTGATATCTGGCAAGGACCCAACAAGTTGATTGTAAGACAAATCTAAAAATTCAAGACTTGAAGCTTGATTGAAGCTTTGTGGTTGAACCCCATCCAATTGATTGTTACCAAGGAACAACTCCTTTAAGGATGAAAATCTGGTGATATCTGGCAAGAAGCCAACAAGTTGATTGTAAGATAGATCTAAAACTTCAAGACTTGAAGCTTGATTGAAGCTTTGTGGGTGAAGCCCATCCAAGTGATTGTTACCAAGGTACAACTCTTTTAAGGACGAAAATCTGGTGATATCTGGCAAGGGGCCAACAAGTTGATTGTTGGATAAATATATACACTGCAGTGACATTATTTCTGATAGGTTTTGAAATAAATGAGCAAGAGGTAAATTTAGTTTATTGAATGAAATATCTAGTGAGTGCAAATGACTTAAATTCTCCAAAGGTTTGTGAACCCCTCCATGGAGTAGATTACCTTCCAAATTAAGCTCCTCGAGAAAATGCAATTTGAATAAAGTTCCAGGAACAGGACCGTCTAGCTGATTATAAGAGAGGTCTAAGTGGGAAAGAATTCTACTAAAGTTAAACAATGACTCCAATGTGGAAAAGGAAGTGAGATTGTTGTCGGATAAATAAAGATCAGAAAGGCAGGACGAAGAAGAATTTGCGAAGAAATCAAAGGCAGGCAGATTGTCATGGAGTTGACAACCTGACAAGTACAATTTCTCGAGTAAAGAGAGCTTCGTTATTGGCTGTATCCAGTTGGTTACATTTCTAAGATTAATACCGCTCAAGTCAAGATAAGATAACAAAGGAACATCAGAAAGCCAATTAAGATTATCGATTGTCATATTATTGTTTGTGAGGGACAAATACTTCAAGTGCTGCAACTCTTGCAGTGCAGGACTTATCGTACCTCTTAAATGCTTATCAGATAGATCGAGCCTGATTACGTGACCAGTGACGCTACATTCCACGCCATACCAATTGCAGCATTCCTCTTTATCTTCTTCACTTCCCCACGTTAACCCACTAAGATCACCTGTAAGACTTTCCTTAAACTTGAGAAGAGCTTGTCTCTCCCTCTCTATGCACCTAACTTGAGCAGCAGCCCCAACTCCAGAAACCAATAGATTCATGCACAGAAAAAGTAGCAATTGCAGTATTTTGAGCTCCATTATTTTTTTTTTCTGACAGTGATTAAAAATGTTTAATTTTTTGAGTTATTTGTGTTCATACAATCAATGTTTTATAATCGCACTAACGCATCAGACACGGTATAGTGTAGGACCCCTTTGGAAAAACAAAATAACATGGATTGGTTGAGCTTAGAGACTAATTCCACAATGGAATCTTCTATGCGCATTAGACACGGTACCCTTTGGAAAACAAAAATAACTTAGAGATATTATTCCCACAATCACGCCATAATTTATAAAGTCTTTACAACAAGACAGGACTGATTGGAAAACCAAGACTGGTTCAAGATTCAATCTGCCGACGTACCAAAATTGAAAATTTGAAACCCATTAAAATGATTCTGACGAACCAAAACTGGTATACCTTTATATTTTTTAAAAATGATATTTTTTTTTTTTGACGATCAGTTTGAGTAAATCAATTGTCTATAAATTTCATGGATGAGATGTGATGCCATCAGAGTCGGTCCTGTGTTTGATGAGCCCTGAGGCGAACAATGAAAATTAGGCCCCCCAACGACAAAATTCAAATGTGTGTTAAAGATGTTGTTTTGTTGTTGGATAATTAGTCTTGGGCCAGCTCACCTTATTTTAGGCCTGCTCACCTTGTTTAAAGAAAAAATAAATAAATAAATAAATAATAAATAGGGGCCAAAGTTAGGCCCCTAATGGTCTTGGGCCTGAGGCAGAGGCCAAGACCCAGGATCGGGCCTGGATGCCATATAACGTCTTTAATACAAGAGAGCAAAATTAAAATCAATACAAGAACGTCTTTAATATGTTGTGGTATTGTGGAGACGACACATGAACGTCGTTGTCATAGTCAACTCAATTCTAGGCATTCCAGTCAAGGGCCATTTTTATAGATGAGGAAGTTATGCATATTGAAGAGATATTATTCTTAATTACCAGACTTTGCAGCAAGGTACTACCACAAATCGAAAAATGTTTTTAAGATGGATATTTATTTTTATATAATGTCAGCTTAATCTAAATTAGAAAATTATATATTGCCAATCGTTTTCTGATGGCATATGATAAACATATGGTTACTTTGACAATTAATGAGGGACAAGAAGTTTAGAAGAAACGGCCTAGTTTACTAAGGAAAAACGCGCTATATAATGAAGATAGAAAATTTTGGATATATGTTCGCTAAAATTTCTTGTGATTATATAATACTGAACACTTAAATTAGGGATTTGAGACTGGAATTTCCCATTTTTTTTAAAGGTAATTTTTGGGTTACTGTAGTATAGGTGCTGTTTCTGATAGTGTGCACAGAATGGTGCCACTTCTGTCAATAGTTTTGGTGTCAGATTTCAATATCAAGAAATTGGTGTCACATTTCAATATTCTGGAATTTTAGTGCTGTCTTTGTCAAACCTTTGATTTTCACATTTTAAAGGCTTGAATAAAGTTTTATGACAAATATTGAGGTTTATGTATTGGAATAAATTATGCATAGGGGCTGTATATGTATAAGTTATTGATTTTAAGGAAGTGAGAGTAATTTAATGGATTTAATAATGCATGGTGTTTAGTTGATAAATCATTAAAGAGAAGAAAAGTTGGAGAATTGGAAATGTAAGAGCAAGTATAGAAGTTGAGAAGTTAAGTGGTGGATTTATATTAATTTAATTGTTAGATTTTAATTCGAGAAATTATACCGTTATTTCAGGTGGGAACGTGGAAGCTTGGAAATTCGTCAATTTAAGCAAATTTCTATTTATAGATCTGTGAGTGGAAAAATATAAATATTTTTAAAGTATTTATAAATTAAGTTTATTGTTAAAGTATGTGCAATTATGTGTTCGAATTACATGATTTTTATGGAATTATCTTTTATTATGATACATGTAGGATTTCAAAGATTGTATACGTTACATTGTGAATTGAAATATGAGATATAATTTTGAGATCGACCAGAAAAGTACCCGTGATTATATATTTCTTCTAGTTCACTGAGGGGCATTGGCCGTGTTTTATACTACACTGAGGGGTCATGGACCGGGGATGAAGGGGTCTCGACCGTGTATATATAGTTCACTGAGAGGCATTGACCGTGTTCTAGAATTGATTTTGAGAGGTCTTTGAGACCGACTTTCGTTCACGGAAGGGCCAAAGGCCCGTGGCGAAAGTTCTTTGCCCGAGAGGCGGATTACATATTTCAGTCAGAGGGTACATTTTTTATGGATTTTTCAGTACGTTTGATGTGATGAGATTATAGCATGGTTATCAACTGATGTCTATATCATGATTTTGAGATGATATTTAATGACCTTATGTGAATATTTCACTTTTTGGTTATAATTACATGATGTTATTTTCTAAATTATTAACTGATATAAACTCCATTTTCGATAGAAATGTAAAATTGAAAAAGTATAATTATTTTCGAACTGCTCCACTCACTGAGTTATCAACTCATATATTTTTCCATAATTTTTCCTACAGGTGGAAATTGATCCTTCTTAGTTGGAAGAGCCTAATGATTTCGGAATAAGAGCCAAACAACATTTTGAATATTATAACTCATATTGATGAAGCGCGAAGTAAAAATTTTGGGCCCATCGCATTATGTTTTTATAAATATTTGATTTTGTTGCATTTTTTTTGAAATAACTCATAGTGAGCCTTGGTGATAGATTTGATATCTAGTGAGCATCTATCATCAGCGCACGTCACGTTTCGGGTCCACTAGGGTGATTCGGGACGGGTCGTGTCAAATGGAGAAACAGGTGATGACGAAATATTATTCGATCAATAATATCGCAAGTGCATGATTCGTTAACAAGTGGTAAAGTAGATTTAGAGTGCAAGTATTGTACCCACAAACATTGGACTAGTTTGAATTCAATTAACTTAACCTTAACTTGATTGCGATCTAATAATCTACTTATGAATACAAGACCTAAATAACTAAAATTGATGCAAAGTTGTAATGAACGCAATCTTTATGAAAATATGATGTTGAAAAGTATTCTAAGATCCCCTTATATCAATTCCCTTTAATCCTTAACCTTATGAATTTGAAAACAATATTCAATCATGAAGATCAATATTTCTAATTCGTTTAACAATCCCTCTCGAGTATAATTAAATATATCCTTACTGTGACCTGATTATATTTCTAAAACGGATGCGAACATATAAAAATGCATTTAAATTTATGAATGCTTAAAAATCAGGTAAAATATAGCAGTATATTTCTATTCTCTATCGGACTCTACGACAATTGACACTATATCTAATTTATTTCAATGTTTCGAAGGTAAAATAAGCCACAAAACTCATACTATTATTGAGCATATAACTGTACAAAAAAAATAAATAAATCAAGGTCAATCATTCAAAATTAATGTGCTTTGAATGTCACAAAATTAATAAGATTCAAACATTAAAGTTCCATGATATAAGTTTCATCGTAATTTTAGCACAAAACTACTATAGCCCAACTTGATGTCGGAATTAAACAAATCAAATTGAAAAGACATCGCCAATAAATTGACAGAACGTGATTCTTTTCCAAAGCGAAGCTGTCATCTTTTTTCCAATTTCGGCAGTCCCTCCTCTCCAAAATTCTGGCCGTCTATGTGTATATATTTTAACTCCCTCTTTTTTAATTCACAAATAGCAGCCAACTTTCTTGTCCCATTACGAGTGGTCCATATGGTTATTGAAGTTCAATTCAATTGCAAGTCCAATTCCTTTTCAGTTTCGCTCATCTTCCAAAATTTATGTGCCTTCCACCTATTTAATCATCTAATTAGGATTTTATTCCAATTAAAATTCGCTTTTCTAGCCCAATTAATTAGTGTTTACTTTCAAGTCCTCAATTCTTCCATGTAATGCAAGTTAGTCATTTTCTTCATTCTCTCCTTGATTTCGATCCTCCAATTTCTATTCGATTGAGATTTAGTCCACAAACTTCCGTTTAATAGTCAATTGTTCCTTATTTCTTTTCCAATTGTTTTGAAACGGGTCCAACACTAAAATAAAAGAAAATCAACCTAAGTTAAGTCAAAATTAACACTTCAACAATATAAAAGTTTAGTAATAAGACCCGGATAAGTGCATAAATATACTTATCAAACACTCCGAAACTCTCGAACAAAACAAACTAGGCATAACCCATATTACGAGCACAGATCGACATGTTGAAGGGTTAGCAGAGCTTCAGGGTGTCGGAAGAATGAGTCAGGCTCAATGTGTTCATGAAACCTTCACCTTCCAACCTTGAAGGATTTCTTTCTATTAGCTTCATTAGGTTTACGTAAAACAACATCCAGGAAAATCTTTATTACATGTTTTGGCTAGAGTCTATAATTGTCTTCCTTCCATTGGAGTTCGAGTCAATTTGTATATTGAGGTTTAAAAGTTGGAAAATCTAAAAAAATTAAGAAAAGTTGAAAAATCTAAAAAAAAAAATTTCTTTTACTATGTTGGTGTGAATGAAACGGATTCTTACTTTGCCTTAATTAATTATTTGTGTCCGAGTCAGTTTCTAGAGATTAAAGAATATTTGTATAATTTGTACTAAAAAATTATATGCTCTTATCTCGTGTTAGATTCCATATTTTTAGAATATAATCGTGTCTTATTCATCACTTGAACTAAAGAACTCTCAGGTTCTTTGAACTACAGAAACATTTTGCCTTTGTAATTAAATAACCTTAAAATTCTAGCCTCTTGATCTAACTTTCAAGCATAAGTTTGAGGGTGGTTGAATTATGACAGTGAGAGTTTTGGGATATTTTGATATTTCGTAGTTTTACGTCGAAATAGAAGATGATAGAGATTTTGGAGGGCGTAAATTGAGTATTGCATGTAAACTAAGATTCATGGTTGGCTGAGTAGGAAAAAGTCACCCTTACCAACGTGGTCCTAAGTATCATCAATATGTAGGGGATGATGTACCAGTGAAGAAGACTACCGTAGTTATAAAGGAAAACTACCTATTTAGATTTAAAACAAAATTAAAAAAAAAAAGGAAAAAAAATCATAAAATGTTA